TGCAAGTGCCACACCGAAACCCAACAGGACAAACTTCAAACGCAAGAGTCTCTTTTTTATAAACTGGGGGGGAGGGCTTTCTGCAAGGTCAGCAGAACAAGGTCAGCAACAGAACCCTGTGCCAGCATGTATGGCACTGCATTCCAAAGCGTCAAGCCAGGCATGAGCTTCCCCCTTTATTATTAGATGTAGACAGGAGGAAATGGGAAAGCAAGGATAGGTGGAAGAGGGTTCCACAACATTATCTAACTTCTCTCCATGACACCCCCCTCGTTTAGGCACTGAATAGCTACCAAATAGTTTGGCAGATATTAGGGGCTGCTGTATTCAGCATGATGAATCAGATTAGAGAATTTGATTCAGCTTTCGGGGATCCCAGATACTGCCAAATAAGCAGGCTATTATTCAGCTTGGCCAAGCCAAATGCATACCCCTATCAGGCAGCTACCTGGTTTCATGTTACCTGCAGATTTCCTTGGAGCACAGGTGGGTTTGCACCTAGTTTTTTCAACAGGTCCCAGTCTTTAAATGCCTCCCTAATCCTTCCAGGGCCTCCCCTAGCCCGCCCACCTCAGATTCGCTGTGGGGGGAGTCACTCTCCAGGCCTTCCCTCTGTAGCCACACCCGCAGAGGTTTTGGCTGTAGTGGGCGTGGCCAACTCTGAAGCCAGCCGGAACTCCATTCCTGTGTGTTCCTGTCCAAAAATAGTCCTGCCTGTTACCATGAGGCTGTCCTCCCATACTACCCACTTGGGGCAGCAAAATGACTTGAGAAAGCCATGCCTTATATCTAAGCAGAAGGAAATAAACATGGCCTGCCTCCCTCTATTTTTCCCTTCCCTCTACCACCCCACCAGGCACAGCCGGGACTATCACCTGGAACTTCCTTCTAGAGCTCGTTGTATTTCTTCCCACAACGAGCCTTACTCCTAGTCTCTCTTTATGTATAATTGAGTAGTGGGGTGGCACTTTTTGAACATTCCACATGCTCCTAAATCAGTTGGCTCCATGATGTGTCACTCAGAAGCTGTCCCTATCCACTGGCCTGAGTCCCACCCACAGAAGCGGCAACTGCCAAACCCATCAGCCATTGGCCTGTCAGCCACCACTCAAAAGTACTCGTGTGCCATTGGCCAGGTGCTGGGTCTGCTCCTCTTACCCACCCACTCCTCCTTCAGCCACTGTTCCCGGTCAGAATTGCTGGCAAACAGCTCTCTCTCCCGATGAAGACACTTCTCTTGCTTGGCTCCTCTGTGGGACTAACTTTTCCCTCAGTGGCTGCTGGTAGAAGGAAACCCTTTCCAGGCCTTTGTGAGAAACTCATTGGGACCCGTCCTGACTAGGGTTGTCAGCACCAGGTTGGGAAATTCCTGGCTATTCTGTGTCTAAGGAAGCCAGTCTAAGGAAGCCAGAGTTTGGGGAGGGAGAGGCCTCAGCTGAATAAAATGCCATAGAGCCCACCCTCCAAAGCAGTTATTTTCTCCATGGGGGGGAAGAGATCTGTTTCTGGAGTTCAGTTGTGATACGTGGCGATCTTCAGGCTCCACTTGAGGTTGGCTACCCTAGGCATAGCAGTTAGCACTTCAAAGCAGGTTCTGCCACACCCAGGTTCTGCTGTGGAAGCTGTAATTTCAGACCAGTCACGGACTTTTAGTATAACCCCCTCCCCTGCCCACTGCCAGCTTGGCCACTTTCCTGTCAGAAAAAACTGAAAATGGCTGGCTGTCTCTCCTGCTTGGCTCTGCCAAGGCTGGCTGGCTACTGAAGTGGGCCAGCGGCTGTCAAACCATTGTCTTCAACCTCCTGCTGTGTGGCTGACTTTCCCCTAGGGTTGCCAGTCTCCAGGTGGGACCTGGAGATCTCTTGGTGTTATAATTGCTCTCCAGAGGACAGACATCAGTTCCCCTGGAGAAAATGGCTGCTTTGGAGGGTAGACACTTTGACATTATACCCTGCTGAGTCCTTCCCCTCCCCAAACACTATCCTCCACAGGATCCACCCCCCAAATCTCCAGGTATTTCCCTACTCAGAGCTGGCAACCCTACTTTCCCCTCTGTGCCTGTTGCTAGGCAACCAATCTTGGTTCTGTCAGTAAAAGGCCCTTTCCACACCTATTTTGGCCTTTGGGAGAAAACTCATTGGGGCCAGTCCTGACTAGGGTTGCCAGCTTCAGTATGGAAATTCCTGAATTTTCTGTGAAGCCAGGGTTTGGGGAGGGGGAGAGATCTGTTGTTTGGAGTTCAGTTGTGATACCTGGTGATCTTTAGGCTCCACCTGGAGGTTGGCTACCCTAGGCATAGCAGTCAGCTCTTCATAACATGGTCTGCTAGACCCAGGTTCTTGCTGTGGCAGCTGACTGGGTGATTTTGGACCAGTCACAGACTTTCAGCCTAACCTACCTCACAGCACTGTTGTGCAAGTCAAAAGGGGGAGAGGAGAATGATGTAAGCTGCTTTAGTCCCCATTGCAGAGAAGACAACTTCTCCTCCCGGGGAACCATTGTTGCCAATCTCCAGGTGAGGGCTGGAAATCACTCAGAATTACAAGTCCAGATGGCAGAGATCAGTCCCCCTAGAGAAAATGGTGGAGTTTGTGTCCTTATGTCACAGTCTGGAGTGCAGGCAGAGGGAAGTCCGAGGTCAGTCTGAGGTCTGGAGCCAAGAAGGGTGGGGCAAGAGCCAAGAGTGAGGGTGTAAAGCGTCAGCCAAAAGCAAGGTCATTCAGTCCTGGGTCGGAAGCCGGAGGGAGTAATCAGAAGCCAAGAATAACAGCCCAAAACACAAACCAGAAGTAGGGTCAACAAGCTAGGGTCACAAGCCAGCAGCAGATAGCAGGAACAAGGTCTGGAAACCGATGGGTGGAGAGCAGCCAGGTGTCATGGAGTGATGACGAGTTTGTGTCCACAAATGGAGCTGGTTTCACTTGAGGCTAAATAGCCCCTTTGCTGCTGTTTCCAGTTAGGGCAGCCCTGCATCTGTTAGAACTCAGGACTGACAGCTCATCTATTTCGCAATCAAGCAACGTGTCTCCTTGCTGCTAAGTCTTGTCAGAGTCTCTCTCGCATTCGAGCGACTCTGGGAGGTGAGTCAGGAGGGTTATCTGCCTGTCTCTGCTGCTCGTTAATTGTTTCTGAGCCAGGTGTCAGCACAGGCCATGCTGGTAAATTGCTGCTCTCTGCAGCTTCAGAGGGGCCAGCTGTGGCTTCCACTGGAGCTGTCAATGGCCCATCCTAAGCACCCATGACACCTTATACACTGCTGAGATGCCCCCATGACAGCCAATGTGACATAGCAGTCAAGGCCTCAGAGCATGGTAGTGCCTGCAGGTGTGTGTGTGGGGGAGATGGAAAGCTGAAGAGTGGTGGACAGATAATAGCAGGTTGATGTTTGGCTGGGAAGGAGATAGAGTTGCCAACACCAGGTTGGGAAATTCCTGGAGATTTCAGGGGTGGAGCCTGGAGAGGGTGAGGTTTGAGGAGGGGTGGGACCTCAGACAGGTACAATGCCATACACTTCACCCTCCAAACCAGCCATTCCCTCCTGGAGAACATTCTTTCACAACTCTAAGGGGAGAGGCAGACCTCATGGCTACACCACTAGGCCCCACATGCAACAAGTCACGTACTCCATGAAGTATCTGGTCAAGTGATCATAGGCGTGGTCTCCAAACTTCCAGCCTATCCCAACATGCAGCTATGACAACCAACAATTGGGCACATCCCATGCCCACTCACAATTGGCTGATGGCCACAGCTGATTTGTGTCTGGAATTGGACTATAATAGTTTGATCCCAATGAGAGAGAGAGCCTTCTTGCTCTCTGTTCCTGCTTGCTCTGCTTGTTTATTGCCCCTGGAAATGCTGTCTCTCGGAGACAAAGACCTGCTTTGTAAACTGGATGCATGCTTGCACAAGATGGGATTCCTACTAAAAATCCCTTGTTGCTAACTGGATTATCACAATGGAAAATCTTGAACTCTTGGATGATATCCTGACTTGGTAAATACGAACTTTTACTGTTTAGTTAAGGCAAACAGCCCTAGCCTTTCTTATTTTGTAAACTTTATAGTCTATCGTGTTAAGCTCTGAACTGAATAAAAATTATTCTTATTTCTAAATGGTCTCTGATGTGTACCTGGATTCCAAGTCTAAATCTTGTAGACTGGCCTGACCACAAGCTACCCTGTGATATTACTGTGTTAAGTCCCAGAGGCCAACTGAGAGTTTGGAATCTCGGCTCTCAAGTTAGGTGGGGACCCTTGTAGAGGTTCTGGTGGCATATTGTTCTGAAAACCTGAGAGGGTTTAGCCTACCTCAGTGGGTTGTTGTTTAATGTACTGGAAAAAGTACCGGATTCTCCTCATCCCTGGACTGGCCTGAGTGGGCTATCCTGCACAATCACATGTCCACCACATATGGAAAAATGAACCAACATTATTTTTACATTTTCAACAGTCATATGGTAGGACTTGAAGTTCCATCGTTGTCCTGGAGAAGACCTGAAACCTGGTATTTGGATTCCTAGCTCAAGAATTAAAGGTCAATGCTGACTCTATGGGAAACACATCTGGATAGGCAATGGCTCACTTATCCAATACTGAAGCTAAAGCTCAAATACTTTGGCCACCAAATGGGAAGGGAGCACTCACTGGAGAAGACCCTGATGCTGGGAAAGATTGAAGGCTGCTAGCAGGGGGACTGAGAGGAGAAGCACTAAGTCCCTCCTACTCTCCTGGTTGCTCGGAGGCCTACTGGGACTGTCCCTTCAAGTGGCAGTACACAACAGTGAGGTGGCTTTTTATCTTGCATTTGGGAGGCACCAAAAATGCCCAAGCCATACTTTAACATGGTCCAATCTATAATTCCCCCTCTGCCCCCTGCAGAGCATTCTGTGTCAGCACAGGACATCATAAATACTAGCCAAGCATATAGAAGCTAATGCGCGAGGCACAAATGATACTGATGTTAATTCCATGGCATAATGTTGCCATTTTCTTTTCTTTTCTTTTTTTACAGGAAAACCATTTGAAACTACTGCCATCATGAATGCGGCTATTGCCAATATTATAGTGTCCATATTACTCTGCAAGCGATATGAATACAATGATCCCACATTTATAAGATTACTGAACTTGATCAGTGAAAACATCCGGCTCGCGGGAAGTCCCTCAGTCACGGTAAACTATTTAAAATTTGGTTTTAAAATGGTTGAAATGCCAGTACAAACAGTACAGGCAGGACTGTGCGTCTCCTGCACAAACTTAAGCCTTCATAGCAGAAAGAAAACTTGTTCTGAGAAACTTGCAACTTATTTGAAATGTTTTGGAAAATATATGGAACAGTTGTTAGCCGAATTGCTCTTTAGGAGAGACAATTGGAACAGTTTATTAATCGGGATTCAGGTCTATGTCTACGAAGGATGGGCTGCACCAATACGCTTCAATGAAGAGACAGAGACAGGAATAAAATTCTCTTTAGTTTACTAAGTATCATTCAAAGCATACAATACACACACACAAGAACTAAGTAAAAACAGATGGATTTGGTAAAGCACTTTTGCATTAGCAGGTATATCGTTGGTGGGAGATATTTACCTCAGGCGATGCACGGCTCCTAAAGCTTCCAGCGGAAGGTATTAGGGAGGGAAGGAAAAAATGGAAATGGGAGAAGCGCGTGTAATCAGACCAGCTGAAGACACATGTGGCACCCTAGCTGCAGACTCACGTGTAAAAGTAAGGCACGGGTTTTGAGATAGAAAGCTGGATTGAAGGGGAAAAGCAGACAAGCAGAGGTCGTAGGTAAAAGGGAGGATGAGGTTGGCTGCTCTGTGTTCTAAGTTTTAAAGCTGCTTGCGATCAGGAGGGGGTGGGCTCAGGCGGCTTACACCAGGTGTCCCTCCCCTACAGGTCAGGGATTGGCTAAGGGGTCAATTTCCAATCTATTGATTAACTGGACCGTTGGCACCTGGGAGGGGGAAAGAGGTACGTGCGGAGGCAACAGTAGCGCTGACTCATCACTAGCCATGTGGATTCTCCATGTGTAATGAAAGTCCACTCTCGTCTGGCAGAAGGGGAACTCTGAAATAAGCCTCTCATCTGGAGACTGGGCGTCTGGGCTAATTAATGAGTTTTCTGTGTTTGCTGTAAACCCTGTGTTTGCACACACACGATAAGCTGGAGACACTGGGGCACTTCTGGAAAGATGTTGGGTCAGCAGATTATCAACCTCAGCTGGCATCTTCTTCTCTGGGTGCCCTCAAGGTGAACTCTTTATTACACAGCCTCTTTTTATTAGCCCTTTGCATCAAGCTTTATTCATAACATAGTCCAGAAATAGCCCAATAAAAAGCGTCCGGGCTAACACAGTCCTTTTGACACTATACCGCTTTAAGTGTCGCCAGGGCTCAGGCAACCCTTCTTACTTGCTGCTGCTTGAAACAGAAAAGGGAGAAAGATTTTAAAAGATGTCAGTGTCGTACATGGGGTGATGGAAGTGATGTCATAGCAGTTGCGATGCCAGCAACCCACCCCCTTCTCCCCGTTCCTAATCTACCGGTGGTTGCACAGCGAGGAAACCCTAATCACTGCAATGCTTGGAAACCAGCGGGAGGGCTCATGGGAGTTTCAAAACACCTTTGAGATTTCTGCCTCAGCTGTAGGATTTGGGGATTTCTTGATCTTTTCCTTTCTCATATTTTATTCTTTTAGCTGTACAACATGTTTCCTGCTCTGGGCTTTCTTTCTGGAGGTCGCAAGACTGTCCTTAAGAACTGGGATGAACTGTACGCCTTCATACAGGCCACCTTCATAAAACACCTCAAAGAACTGGACGTGAATGACCAGCGGAGCTTTATCGATGCTTTCCTAATCCAACAGCAAGAGGTAAACATGCCGATAATCACAGGTGAATGTCTCTCACCCATTGATTTAAAGTCTCTTTGCATGTGAATGCCAGGCTCGCTGGCGAGGAATCCCGCTTGGGGGAAGGGGGAGCTGCCCATCTAACTAACTGGGATTTTCCACAAAAACACACAGAAATTAAATATGCAGCACAAACATTATTCTGCTTTCTCCTGTTCCCCAGTTCTCTTTCCCCTTCTGTCTCTACAACAAAAAAGGTGTCATTGACTTTAAAAAATCCATGAAAAGCTGACAATTTACAGGAACTAGCAGATCATGGCCACGGTTTATTATATACCATAGCACAATATCAATGGTCCATTTTTTTAAAAAAGCCCTCCAGTGGAGCCTGGGGTAGGGGGATGAGGCAAGGAAAATAGTGGTGATGTGGACAGTAAAAATCTCTCTCTTATAGGGTGGCTTACACCAACATAATCTAGACCACTGTAGGCTCAATGGAACTGTTGGGTGGCAGGGTCTGAACTGCAGAATTCTGGGAGATTATGGGGTTTGGGGAGGGGAAGGACCAAAGAAAGGGTACAGCACACCTCCAAAGCTATAGCAATTCGGAGCTCATATGGTATGGCAGAATGCATGTGAGGCTGCTGCGGGGTAAATCTAATTCACTCTTGATATGTGAGATACATCAAGTTCAAATTAATATGAGTCCTTTACTGTAAAGGAACGCCATTCTAGATTGGATAAAGTAAATAGATAAAATAGGATGGAGGGAGATACAGGAAAGCCATATCATGCTCTTACGACTGAAAGATGGAGACAGAAAGAGAGAGAGAGACAACCAGAAAAGGTCTTAGCTGGAAGGAAGATTCCCTCAGAGTGGTAATCTACACATCAAAGGGACAGCAACAGAATAGTAGGAAGAGAGGGATACCCACGTCTGTCCTGACTTATCTGTAACTCTGGCTCTTTATACTGTCCCTCTAGACCAGGGGTGTCAAACATACAGTCTGTGGTTTGGATGAGGCCCACACAGGGCTGCAATCCGGCCCGAGAGCAGCTGACTCTGTGCTGCTTCTAACATTGCAGCTCCTTATGCCCAGTCTCTCCTAGTTCCTGCTTGGCAGCAGAGAGAAAGAAAGCCTTCTCTGAATTGGCTGAGGACTTCTCCCCCCCCTCCTCCTCTGGGGAAGGAGGGGGAGGAAAAGACCCAGAGAGGGGGGGGGGAATGATGTTTTGTTTGACTTTTAAGAAGACCAGCAACATTGTATTCCGGGTAGAACCACACTTTTTCTTTAGAGAGAGGGAGGGAGGGAGGGAGGGAGCCAGGGGCAGCACCCCAGAAAAATACAGAAAGTCCTGTTTTTAAGAAAAAAAAACCATTTTATTCCAGATATGGGGGGAGAGTCCAGTGTTTGAGATCAAAAAATGTTTTATTCCAGGTATTGGGGGGGGGAAGAGTCCTGCGTTTAAGACCAAAAAAAGTTTTTTCCCAGGTATGGGGGTGGAGTCCTGTGTTCAAGATGAAAAAATGTTTCCTTCCAGGTATTGGGGGGGGTGGGGTCCTGTGTTCAAGACCAAAAAATGTTTTATTCCAGGTATGGGGGAAGGGAGTCCTGTGTTTAAGAGTGTATGTATATGTTATGTTATGTTTGTGTATGTTATGTGAAAAAATTAATAAAACCCTGCCCCTTTGGGGTCATTTAAAAAAAAAAAGAGCGAGAGTGTCCATCCCGTGGCACTTGAAGAGATCCCCCTTTCCATTTCTGATAGATTGGTGGGAGAAACCTAACAGCACAGATTGCATTCTTTATTAGTGAAAGGGAGCAAGAGTACACCAGCACCTTAATGACTGACAAAATTGTGGCACGGTATGTGCTTTTGTGAGTCACTGCTCACTTCTTCAGACTTATTTCCATTTATTCTTTGCGTACTCCTGGACTGAATCCTCCTGTACCAAAGAGATAGGTTTCCTGTTTCATTACCAATACTGATATCTCCTCTCCTCTGCGTGTCACACCTCATCTAATCACGGTTGCTATTGCCATTCAGCACCTGAAATCATGTTTATAAAGTTTATATCTCCAGTATTTTGTGTTACATTTTATGGCACACATGGCCAGGCCCAACCAAGTGAGTGAATTTATGTCGGATCCGGCTGAATAAATGAGTTCAACCCCTCTGCTCCAGAGTCTGAGAATAATAAAGCAGGCATTTCCCGCCAGGGAAAAATGATTTCTGTAGTCTGGGGATCAGTTGTAATTCTGGGGTAATATCAGGCCCCACCCGCAAGGTGGCAACCATACAGTCTAGCAAGCATGTGTGCTGGCCTGAAGAAAGGCTTGTTAGAGACTAACCCGGGAGCTATTCCTATTATTTGTTTTGGTGCCCAGACTGTGTAACATTTATTGCTTTTATCATGCAGGGCTCTTTTTGTAGCAGGAACTCCTTTGCCTATTAGGCCACACACCCCTAATGTAGCCAATCCTCCAAGAGCTTACAGAGCTCTTCTTACAGGAGCTACTGTAAGCTCTTGGAGGATTGGCTACATTAGGGGTGTGTCGCTTGAAATGCAAATGAGTCCCTGCTACAAAAAGAGCCCTGCGTGAGATTGCTTCATATTTCTACCTTTGGATTTTTTTTCTTGTAAACAGCTCTGCAGACAAATGGATGAGAGGAAAGGGGTGTGTAATATTGCTGCCACAAACTTGATATCATAGAAGACTGAATTATGACACCAGGGTTACGTAACATTGTCCATATTGGGATATTTGGTTCACATAGCAAAGTTTGTCCAGTCATAGGAGCATGATACTGAGTGCAGTACATAAACCTCCCAAGAAGTATATTGCAAAAAAGGTAAACTTACATTTGTGCAAGGCAATCCAGTTCATATCCACGTTGGAGTCAAAGGAAGACAAATTAGCCTAATCCAAAGAGCACTTTTTCTGTCAAAAAAGGCCAGCTTGTCCAACATCATGTGTGTGGGAGTATGAGAGGGAGAGGAGGGCAATTTCCAGGTTAAGACTAAGAGAAGTATCCCATTCAAGGAGATAACACCTATACACACCTAGAGTCATGTAGTGCCCCCTTCCCAACGTTCCGGCATGCTGAGTTGCTCACTCAACACTCCCTCTCAACTCTTTAAATGATCAAGGTTCACAATGTTTAGGTTGTCCTGCAGGCCTTTAAAAAAAACACAAAAAAGGATAGAAAGAAAAGTTAAGAAAGGGAAAGAAAGAGAAGGAATGAAGGGGGAAAGGGCAAGAAGGAAAAGAAAGGGAAAGAAATGGAAAGAAAACAAAAGAAATGGAAAGAAAAAAAGAAAGAAAGGGAAAGAAAACAAAAGAAATGGAAAGAAAAAAAGAAAGAAAGGGAAAGAAAACAAAAGAAATGGAAAGAAAGAAATAGAAAGAAATAGAAAGAAAGGGAAAGAAAAAAGGGAAAGAAAGGGGGAGAGAGGGAGGGGAAAGGAAAGGGAAAAAAGCAAATAGACGGGGAGGGAGGGGTGGGAAGAAGGAAGAAGAAAGAAAGAGAGCCCACCTCTAATGGCAGGCAGACTTGGTTTGGCTCTCCCCCTTACAAATGGGGGGGAGCCAGAGGGAGGGCTGAAATGGCTTCCTGCCCTTTAAACTGAGCAGTACGGCGGTTCTGCCTGACAGCTGCTGGATTTAAAGGGCAGGCAGTCACTTCAGGGCTCCATTTCACTCCCTCTGCTTCCAAGTGGGGGAAGCAAAAGGGAGCCCTAAAATGGCTTCCTGCCCTTTAAAGCCAGCAGCACAGTGGGTTTGCCCATCAGCTGCTGGCTTTAAAGATCAGACAGCTGTTTAAGGGTCCTATTTTACTTGCCCCCTGCCTCACTTCCAATTGGGGGGAAGTGAAACCCTTTAAATTCATCCATGCAGCAGGCCTGCCTGTCAGTTGCTGGCTTTAAAGGGCAGGAAGCCATTTCAGGGCCCTGTTTTGCTTGCCCCCCACTACCAGAGTGAGCCTTTAAAATGACCAGCAGAGCCACCAGTCAGCTGTTTGCTTTAAAGGGCTGGCAGTTCCCCCTCCCTTTCTCCCTGGGAGAGGGCGGAGGAGACCTTGGCCATTGGGGGGAGCGAAGGCTTGCCTTTATGTCTCTTCCTTCCAAGGCATTAGAGAGATCCAAGTGGGGTGGGCTGCTGCACAGCAGCATCCTGGGAGAGGGGACGGTGGGTGTAACCCATGAGGATCCCTGTGCTGAGCTAATGAGCTCTGCACTGGGGGGAGAATCAGTGCACCGGCACAGACTGGCACACGTTAATGGGAACCCTGTTTCCAGGCCCAGTCTTCGTAATCATTCCAGTATCTTCTGCTTTTGACTAAGAAGATAACTTCCATCTGGTTCCCGTTCAATCTGAATTCCCAAGAGGAAGTTAGCATTGCATAGGTGTTCCACTTCTACTTCCTTTTCTTTCCCTGGATTAAACAGCCATTAGCTATTCATCCACAGTTTCTCACCAAAAAAAAAGTGAGAATGAAAATCAGATCCCTCCTGACAATATAAAGGGGAAAGTTGCTACATCTCTCACACAGTTTGCCAATCTACTTGACAGCAGATAGTGCATGTCCACTCCTCAGAAAGTGTTCTTACCTGCTTTATCCAAGGAATAACATATTTGTTTTGTGTGGTATTGTTTTGGGGACATACTAAAACAATATGAGCTAGGGCTAGTTGATCCAGACAATAAGGCCATTTGCATTCCTCTGTGGGAATTCTATTGTATCTCCTTTGTACCACAGCTAAGGCGTTACACCTTGCCAATAGAAAGGGTAAAATTTATTTGGGCGTGAGATTAACACAAATAATTATGAACTTAAATTTATCTTCATTCGATGCAATGCCTTTTTAAAAGTTACAGGTTGCTAATATTTTAACTATTTCCAATAGGAGTGTGCAAGTATTTTTCTCTCTATTTTTCGGTTTGGGTCTATTAGACCTGAGAAAATCCCATGGTTCCTGAAAAAACCCAGATCCCAATACTGGTAAACTATTCGGATCAGGGATTTTTCAGATATCTGATTTTCTCCAGGTCCAATAGACCCAAATCAAAAAACACCAAGAAAAAAAGCAGGAGCAAAGCTGCTAAAAACAGCTGAGAGGTGACTCAGGTGCTGTGGCTAAGTGTGCAGACTCTAATCTGTGAGAATCAGGTTTGATTCCCCACTCCTCCATTTGCAGCTGCTGGATGACCTTGAGTCAGTCACAGTTCTCTCAAAGCTGTTCTCTCATGAGCAGTTTCTGCCAGAGATTTCTCAGCCCCACCTGCAGTGTTTCCTCTAAGCTGAGTTAGTGTGAGTTAGCTCACAGTTTTTTAGCCTCTGGCTCACACATTTTTCTCTTAGCACAGGAAGGATGGCTCCAGAGCAAACTAATTTATGCAGTTGCTAAATCGCTTGCTCACAACTTTAATGCCAGTAGCTCACAAAGTAGAATTTTTGCTCACAAGACTCCACAATTTAGAGGGGGCATTGTTCACAGGGTGTCTGTAGCGAGGAGGGGAAGGGAAAGGAGTTTGTAATCCGCTCTGAGACTTCCTCCTCCTCCTCCTCTTTTGGGTGGTTCCTTTTTAAAATATTTCTGTTTTACCATTTAAGGGGACACAAAATGAAAAGAAACAAAGGGAAAGGTGAGAAGCATAAAACATCATTTGTTAAACACATTTTAAGGACATTGCATAATATAAGGATATAAAACATGAATGAGTATCATAACAGTATCCCAACAAATCAAAATATGGTAGAAATATTCCAGCATAATATATTTCTATGTATGTTTCCATTATTTCCTATCTATAGGGTTAGGTAGGAAAGCATATCTATAGGGTTAGGTAGGAAACATAAGAAAAGAGTAAGAAAACATTTTTCTTTATCTAAGGTTAATACTATCATGCAATAACTAGTAAATATGTAACTATCATAAAATATCATAAAATAAAATTATATTCTGCGTTTATAAACTGGGTAGTTTCTGCTGCCATCAGGAATTTAAACAAATTCCAAATCTTCTCTCATGAGCTGCTGGTAAAGTGACCTAGAGTCAGGGCTTTTCAGAGGTCTATGTAGCCCTGAGGAAGGATTGAACTGGATTCTGGGTTAAACTTAAACAAAATATGATTTATTGATTAAGGAACAAAAATATGTTGCTGGTTAACTAACTGTATTGGGGAAAAGGAACTAGTAAATAAACTGGCAAGGTATCACACACAGTCTTTTGACATTAGGATCCCACTCTGGCAGGAATCCCTCACATAGGAAGCCACACTGGCTTAGATTTTTGTACTGTTGGTTCTCTTTTTTTTTTACTTTAGAGTCTCACAGACCCTTCTCATAGCTCCTTCATGCTTAAGCTTTAAATATGTATATACTGAACTCTGAACTTTTAAAGTTTCCACACAGACTCTTACTCACTAACTGAATAACTCCCAAGCTGACCTCTTTATAACTCAGATTCACTCAAACTCAAAACTCCAACTGATTTCTCTGACTTATCCGAACTCTTCAAGACACACACAGAGATTCATTCCAAACAACTCCTCCCACACTCTGTCATCCACCAATCACAGCACACTTGTCTCTCTCAATCACTCTACTCTGCTAACACTGCACTCCAACCAAACATTTAAAGACACACACACTCTAAAACAAGGAATCATTACAATGATGTTTATGAGAGGCACCTTTAGCATCTTCCCTATGCTGACAGGATTTGCTCTTGCTCACTTGGTAGAATTGGAATGTCCTTTATATTCTAACCTAAGATGTTGTTCCATTTTACTGCGGTAGGTGAATTTCTACTATTCTGTTCCAAGCAGTGTGATCCCATTTCAGATCAAAACTCTAATAAACTTTAAATGTTTCAAAAAAAATTATCTCTTTTGTCTTTTGAGAAATAACTAGAGATTGCAAATGAAATTTCAGATTGTTATACTGCTAAAGGCATTGAGTTATAGAGTTGTAATTGGACAAAGGAAAGGAATGCTTTATTTCTTCTTATTGCCTAGGAAAAGAAAAGGAACCAGAGCAATGGATTTTTCCATAATGAAAACCTAAAAGTTGTTGTGGGGAACTTATTTGCTGCTGGCATGGAGACCACTTCGACTACCTTGCGTTGGGGCCTGTTGCTGATGATGAAGTACCCTGAAATTCAGAGTAAGTCCTTTCCATTGCTTGGTTTCCATTATTCTAGGATATCTAGATACCAGTTATGCATAGAGGTAAGAACACAAAATAAACTGAGATTGCTGTTGGATGTTACCTGAATGAGGGAGAACAAGAAGCACCAGAGAGTTATACTTCCTGTGTTTCCCCACTGGGTGTAATATTACAGAAGGGGTGGATTGAATTCTCCTCTAAAGTTGCATCTGCTGTGATTTCCCCCAAAGTCCCAATCATGTTTAGAGAGTGAGCATTCAGTCTCACTCTCTCAGGGCCAAAGTGGACATTACAATGGCCATGGGAAAGATTCTGGCAGTTAAAGAAAATGGAAATCAGCAAGGGGGGGAGGCTACTCGAGGGGTCCTTGCCAGTAATCAGCTACAATCCTTTCCAGTTTCCACCAGTGTGCCTATGGCTAAACTACAGGGTCTTCCCCAAATGCCAGAGCAACCCCCAGCAACCCCCAGGAACATGCTGATATCATTGCTGGGCACACCTTATTTCTAGGTGATGCTGATGTTCCTCACCCTATTTTGGCACGTTCCCCCCCCCCCGCCGCCAAACAGTTGAGTTGTGGTGGGAAGTGCCCACTGGGGGTAGGGGACTGGCAACTCTTTGTGTACATTAAATCGGTGGGGGGAACCTACATTGAAAAAAGCGTTCAGTTTAAAACTTGTTGCCTTCCACTCTTGGCTAACAGAGGATTTGGAGGGAAAACCTATACCAGTAAAGGAGTAGAGTATCCAAGCTCTAACAGGTTACAACTTACCATATGACCCGGCATTGATTTTGCTCCACCTTTGGCCTGCAGATGGTGTACCTGAAATTAAGAAAAAAACTAATTAATGTTCTGTTAATAGCTGCTAAAGTGCTATTAGCAAGCAAAATGGAAAGCAGACTCCACTCCAACGATGCAACAATGGCTGCACAAAGTCTGGGATTTTTTCTTACAAGAGAAAATCTCGTTCTGGACAAGTAACAAAGATGCTGAACATCAGCTGCTTAACCCTATGGATAAATGGTACCCCGTATTAGAGAAAATGAACATAGACAAATTTGACTGGGAACAAACAAGGAAACCAAAATATGAAGGGCTATTGTTTGGCTGACGGACTAATCTATTGGTAACAGGGGTAGCCAGTAGGCCGCATCCACTAAGCTAATTATGAATGGGCTGAAGAATAAGTGACACACACCCCTTTCAACAGCTCACCGGCAGCCTCGCAAAGACAGTGGGCACTAGAGGGGAGGTCTCCACAGAAGATTGAAGCGATTGCAATGTACTTCCCTCTGACCAATGCCTTCATTGCATCCCAGATGACCTGAGAGACACTATAGTCAGAGTCATTTTTAAAATAATTTTAAATTTCTAAATCAATATCTGTATATGTTTTGTCATTCAATAATTTTTTTTAAAAAAGTAAAGGAGTAGAGGGTGGTGCCTGGGGAAAAAAACACAAAAGGCCTTGCCCAAAGTGGGAGGGGGGCCACTCTTGGGGAGTAGAGGTGAGAAAAGGCTGCTGCAGACAGGGGGATCCTTCATCCAGGAAGGGGTGAGTCGGCTTGAAGCCAGTCACCAAGAGACATCTAGGGTCAGTCTAGATAGATGCATTAGGGTGTTTTATTTTGTTTGTGTATCTGCCTTTACTCTGTTCGTTTTTTCCTACATGATTTGAAATACAGATGTTGTTAAATCTGTTTGATAAAATAGTTTGTTACTCTGCCTGGAGCCTCCCACCTCTTTTGGTTACTTATAAGGGGGAACCTGCTGGAAATGGGGTAGGGTGGTTACTCTGGGTTTTCCTGAGGAGATCAGTGTTCCCTCTAAGCTGAGTTAGTGTGAGCTAGCTCACAGTTTTTTAGCCTCCAGCTCACAGATTTTTGTCTGAGCTCAGGAAGGATTACTGCATAACTAAATTATGCAGTAGCCAAATTGCTTGCTCACACCTTTAAGGTCAGGAGCTCACAAAGTGGAATTTTTGCTCACAAGACTCCACAGCTTAGAGGGAACGTTGGAGGAGACCCATAACCAGAGTGGTGGCAACCATTAGAAAGCTTCCCTAGCCACTGCCCACGACACCTGCCCTAAAGGGTTCCCATCCATCGTCCACTGGTGTCCTTGTGTCCACTTGCTGAAGACCATAATTTCTATTTTATCCTAATTGTCATGA